TTCGTGGGCAAAGACCCACTTCATCAGATGCATGGAGTGGAAATTCTAGAGGCAGATATAAATATGCAGGCATAAGAAAAGAGCACAGCTAGCGATAAGGAGGTCAATTCAGGGAGGATGAGGTCCACTTCTAGCAGCTGATGCTGGCAGTATGAACACCAAGGGGAGAAGCTGCTTTTGTAGTTGGCTAGCCATTAACAGTCTGTTTAATCCTAAGTGATGGTGTTAAATTTGCAGATGAACTGTAGCTCAGCAGTTTCTCTCTGAAGTCTGGTCTTGACGGTTTTTTTGTTGCAGGTTGGCTACCTTTAAATCTTCTACTGTGTGTCCAGGGCGATTGAGGTGTTCTCCTACAGGTGTTTTTATATTCCCGATAATGGAAGGGCTGACTTGCCCTGGCCCTACTTCTGCCCAAGGTCCTGCCCCTTCTGGGCCCCCCACCTTGCCCAGGGGCCTGGCAAAGCTGATGGCCCTACTGTTATGTAGACTGCCCTTTAGATGTGCAGCCAACAGATTTGTTCTGCAGTTCTTGGGTGAGCTCCTGCCCAGGCGTGGCATTAGACCACCTGGGGCCTATAGCAGAAACTAAGCAGTGGGTCCTGACCTTGATGGAGCCTGAACCCTGCCATGTGGGGCTGAAGCCAAGCTCCACCACCCATAACTTAGCTTTGCAGGACCCCAGGCCATTGCCCTGTTTGCTTCCCCCTTCTTATTCCCAACTGGCTCCCTGGAAATCATGTGGGTCGGGTCCACTTGGGGAGTGGTTTGCAGGGCTGGGGCCAGAGAACAGTAAATGAAGACTCCCATGAAATGCAAGTGAAATGGAGTGTGTCTAAGCTAACACTCCTCAGGCAGGCTGGGACTTCCTGGCCATTACATACAATCTGAATTGGGCAGTACTGCTGGGTTTTTGCACATAGTTTCCTAGAGCTCAGAGAAGAAGAGACAAGTTTTGGGGCACACGAGATGTGGCTACCAGAACCAGGTGCAGTGCAGATATGGGACCCCAACAGCTGCAGCAGGGAGCACTGCATTGAAACCGCTGCAGAGGAGCTGTTGCGGTGGCAGCCCTGTGTCTCTGAGGCTGTGCTCATAGCAGCAAAGCGGTGACACTCCCAGCTTAGCTGCCCCTGACTTCCCAGCGCCTGAAGCTTTCCCCCTTCCCACTCTGTGGCCAGGAGTTGCCCCAGCAGCACCCCTGCTACTCCTGACTGCGCAGCATGCACACAACAGCCTCTTCTTGCCCCATCAACACCCCTTCGTCTGCCACCTCCTCAGGTGCTTCTTACCTTCCCCACATTGGCAACTCTACCTTGAGACTCCTCCTCCCATGACTGCAGGTGGGATTCAAGGGCTCTCGGCTGGCCCTCTGGCACACCTCCTGCTGCAATAGGATGCAGGAAGCCCAGACCTCCCTGCAGGACTAAGAGGACAGCAGCAAGGAGGCCAGGTTGCTCCCACGGGCCCACTTGAGCAAGGACTTGCTCATCAGGCCATGGGGTGAGGAGACTGTCCAGGGCCAGAGGAAGGAGTTGGGCTGGGGATGGTCTCAGAATTCCTTTGGGGGACAAGGGAGAGAAGAGTTGCGCTGAGGCCATGCCCCCATAGGCAGGGAGTGTTCTGGAATTCTATTGAACGGCAGGCAGCATCCTGAGGAGTGACTTGGGAGGGGACTGAACTGCTGTGAGAGGTGGCCGGAGCAGAGGCGTGCAGACTGCACAAATGGGAGGGGGAGAGTGAGGGGGAGAGTTGCACCTGGCACTCCAGACTGGCCTGTAACAGAGTCCCTGGCCTCTCCCTTCCAGTCCCCACTTAATGCTTTTGGAGACTCTGCTGCTTTCTGAAAGCTTCCCCATTTTGTCGATCTGATTCCAGGCCTGGGCCGAGCCTGAGCAACTCAGTAACAAATGGGAGTGGCTGAGAGTTGCGAGCATGTAGGGTCTTTTCTCCTTGCCAGGCTGGATAGAATCACTGCTGCACATGGAGCATAGAAGGCCTCTTTAGCCTCCATGTTCATTGTGATGTTCAAAACTTCCAGTTCCTCTTGGCATCCAGTAGCTCTGCAGTGAATGGGCCAATGCCGATGCAGACTGGGGGACAGTTTGTCTTGCCGCACAAGTTTGGGTCGGGAGCTGCTGCAATGCTTGTTTGTAGCCCCTTCCAAGATTTTTTAATCTTGACCTTTGCAGAGGTACCCTGGAGTGTGACTCTGCTGTCTGGTGGGCACCATTTCTGCTGGTCCTTTCCACTCAGTGGCCTTGGGAAGCACTTAACCTTCTGTATGGCAAGGCTCCAGTTATGCTCCCACTGAAGGGAATGGGACTTACACCACTGACTTCAGTGGGGCAGAATTTGGCCCTTTGTGGCTTGTCTTTCCTTTTGGAAATGTCTTGAGTCTTGTGAGGAAGCCTGTCCCAGAGCCCAAGCTGGCCTGAAGTTTGGTGGGATCTTGTTTGCCTAACAGGAACTTGGGACTATTTACCCACCTAGCACATTGAAGGAGGTAGGTCATGGAGGCAGTGAGAGGGAGAATAGCAATACTCTGGCAAACTCTGCCTCCCTTTTGACCTTAACATATGGTCTGCCCTCCTGCACCTCACAGGCTACAGAATCTCACCCACCCACTTCTGTAATAGGGCCCCAAACCTCTGGCTGTGTTACTAAAGCCCTCACACCTTGATTTATAGACTGCAAGTTCCAGAGAATCCACCATTTACACTACTTCATACCTGTCAGTGGCCCACAGTGCAGAGGAAGGTGAAACACCCCCAGTGTCTCTGCCAGTCTATCCAGGGGAAAAAATCCTCCTCAGCTGCAAATATGGTGACCAGATAGACTCTGATCATTGAGCCAGACACCTAGAAAGAATTCTCTGTAGCAACTTGGACCTCTCGTAGTTTGTATTCATCACTGGCCATTGGGGATATTTTCTACTAGAAGTTGCATTTCAGCTACATTCCATTGTCTGCAGTCTCATCATACTGTCCTCTCAAACTTACCAAACTCTGTCTTGAAACTAGTTAGGGTTGGGTTCCCCTCCGCCCCCCAATGCGCCACTTAGTTTGTTCCAGAACTTCACTCCTCTGATTAGTAACCATTTTCTGCCTCCGTGGTATTTGCTCTCTATAAATACATGACAGTTTAAAACATAATAAAGGTTGAGTAAGCATAAATGTGCAGTTTAACCTTTAACTTCAGCATGCAATTAGCAAGATGTGATAAGCTCCTGCTGGCACCATCCACTGCTTCCTCCCCAAATTAAGGGCCCACTTCCTTCCACTGAGAGAGACTATACAGCCTTCAATCTGGAGGCTATCTTTACAGCCGCTTAGCCAGAAGGGCCTATTTGTGTATCTTGAGGCATTTATTATTCTTTCAGAAGATTAAAAAACTGACTTTTAGCACTTTCACTTCTTGCTGCTTAGAAAAGGAAGCCACAATGGGAACTGAACTTAGTTTTTCCAAGGGCAGTGTATCATGCTCACAGAAAACTACAAATTCCTGATATCAAGCAACAGCCTTGAAAGCACACGCAAAATTCCAGTCTAGACACAGCCAGAGAGAATCAGATCTGTCGGCAGAGGGATGCAGATTAGGCAGGTCGACATTGCAAATGAGGCAGGGATTTAAATATCCCGTGCCTAATTTGCATAAAAATGGCCACCACGTTTTGCCATCTGTGACGTAGTGGGGGTACCTGGCTGGTTTCTATGCTGCTGGCTCTGGGGTAACCCCCACTGGCTGCCGTGGGTACCACGACCCAGCAAAACAGGATGAGTCACTATGCAAACCAGTATGGCCAGACACCCCCCATGGAGAGGAACAAAGGAAGGTGGATGCTGCCCTGGCTGGGGGGCAGGGCGGGCA